TTCTTTTTTTTTCTCTTTTTTATTTTTATTTTTTAAAGAATACAAAATAGTGATAGAAAAAAACAGCATTAGAAATGATACAACCAGGGCAAAGCCACACATTCGCACGTACAAGATGGGTGAGGCAATGATCCCGAGAATCCTCAGCAGGCTTTTGAAAAGCAGCTAACCTGCAGGATCCTCACCCTGACCAGCCATACATGCTGTTACCTGTGAACCAAGCTACTGCACTGACGATAGCAATGTAAAACACATAATCTTTCTAAAATTAAATCGAAGAGGATAACCATGCTAGACTATTTTCATTTTTGCCTAACTAGCCTGGACATACAGGCACCCTTAGCTGTGTTTACCACTTGAATGGTATTTCATTTTAAGGACCCACCACTACTGAATTAATCATTTGGCTTTTGGATGGTCTTCTTGCCCTCTTTTTTAGCCCGCACTATAGTCAGCCCTGCAGCAAATAATATCCTCAACGATCCTCCCAGTGTTTTTTGTGGGTGGCCATTTCTCTGTTGGCTTTAATTTAGCATGGGATCTCCCAGAGGTTAGAACCAAGACACAGGAGACGTTTTGCTTTACTCGCCCAGAGAATCTCATCTTGGCCATAAGAGCAAGCAAAGCAGGGAGGGAGGAGAAGCCCACAGGAACACGGCTCCTGAGCTGGTCCTTGCGAGGCGCTTCTGATCACCACTTACACGGCTGATTTCAACACCACAAAGTGCCCCTCCCGGGTCTCTTCAGTCACACTTGTGCTCCTTCCGCCTTAATAAGGGTCTCCTCGTGCCTGGCCTAGATTACTACAGGACCTGTTAACAACCCCCGCCGCTCTCTACTCTGTCCTCCTGTTTTTTTATCGGAGAGAAAGTGTGAACGGGCTTGGTGTGTGTGATTCTCCACACCAAAACTAGCCTGCGCTGCCGTGTGGTGACGTCCGAACTCTCCCATCCCCTCGTCTTAGCCCTTGCTAGCCCGACTTCCTAGCGTCGCCGCTTCTGCAGACTCCTGCAGTCTCCAGCACCGTGACCCTGAGGACCACTAGGATTCCGTGTGGACTCCGTGTCCTCCGTCCCGCTACTCCCGTGACCTGTGTTCCTGGCTAGAGCTGGTTCATGTTCCACACCCCTACACAGGGCACACACCAAACTGGGGGTGAAGCAGGAGTCGGCAGGAGGGCCAACAGAGGGGAGCTGGGGCCACCCGGAAGCAAACAGAGGTCGGTCTGCAGCAGCGCAAGGAGCCTTACCTTACGGTACCCGATGCTCTGCAGCACTCAGCCCACAGCATTCCTCTTAGTTTCTCTGAAACACATTTCTCTTTTTGCAAAATACACTTGATATTTCACTCCTTGTTTAGGTCAAAGGCTTCTAATCCAGGAATAGATTTCAAGTGCCAAAATTCAATCTGTAACATTTATTTTTATTTATTTATTTATTTTGCCACGAGATGTGTTTTATTTTCATTTAACATACAAATAATTTTCTATAATATCCCAGGGCAAACCGGAGAATTTGGCAGTCCGATTGGGGGGGTTCCCCTCAGAGACCCACGGGCGCGGAATGCCCGGGTTCACAGTGCAGCTTGTGGCTCGTGTCCATCTTGCAAGTGGCTCTTCCTCCACATCATGACTGGGGGGTCTCGGAGATGACGGGGGCGGGGAATTGTCTGGGCTCTTAGGAAATCTCACTCCGCTTTTCCTGCTCAATGGTCTCTTTGGTCGGCAGGGTGTTCTTCTCCTGCGTCTTCGTCTTCTTCAGCTTGGCCTTATCGAAGCTGGCGATTTCCCCCATGTCTGGTTTGTCTGCCATTTTCTTAAAACAATCCGAAAGTGTTTCGCTCCGAGCCCGAGCTCCTGGTGCTCCCACTCGCGTTGCTGCAGCAAGAGACCCAATCTGTAACATTTAATCCAACAAGGTAAATATGATTTCCGTGAGTTCCTTGATTTACATTAAGGGACTAACACCCGATAGGCTGAGATACTTAATTGGTTGTGCCATCTAAATAACTTTGGTTTTAGTTTTCTTTCTTAGATACAGTGACCCAAATGTTGGATTTGAAAAGCTTAACATCTGTGTATCCCCGGAGATAAGTCACTTATGTTTTCTGGAAACTACTCAACAATACAGCCAGGGTCATTTATAGATTAATTAGCATATTCCAGACATGGGATGATGCATGTGCTTTTTTCTGCCCATGGACTTAGAACTAGTGAGGACATTAGACAAGTCAGTGGGAAATCAAGAACCAGAAGATAAATTGTACCATGGGACTGTGTGTGTAGGCTACCAAGGGAGGGAGGACATGTGACATTTGGACATGGGATTAGAAAATCAGTGACAAGTGAGCTAAATCAGAGTAGGTGTCTCTGCCAGGCATTCATTCATTGGTTTCTTTAAACTTTATCTAATAATTCACTTTCTTTTCTTCACTCAGCAGGCTTTTAGGAGCAGCTATGGTGGATACCTTTAGTTGGTCCAACTGTTATGCCTAATTCTCTTTGAAACAAGGGTTCCCTTTGCCCTAATTCTGAATGAGAAGATAAAGAGGGATAATAGAGGCAGAGATCGCCAGAAATATTGTGACTCTCTGACACAAAATCCCTCCTTGTTTTTCCTTCTTTTTCTACGGTCACTTTCATGAGCTAGAGCTGCCAGACTAGAGACAAGGTGAAGAACGCAGTTACTGCTCATCTAATGATGCTGCAACGACCTTAAAACTAGCATCGGCAGTTACCCAACTCTGAACATTTTGTGTGCAAAGAAACCTTCCTTCCATTTAAGCCACTGTCGAGCCATTTCTGCTACTTGTATCTGAAGGCACGCTGACGAACTTGGGGTGTATTTTGAACAGGCCTTTTGCTTGGGGATTTCTTAATAAAGTTATCTGTTGTAAGAAGCTTAAAGAAAATTGCCCTACAAAGAACCATGTGATAACATCTCCTCAGTTACTCTTCTTCCCTCAGCGAGCAAAGCCCTAAGATTTATAACTGGGAGATTGGTACAAGAGTTATAGGTGTCTGGCCCCCTGTCTCAGCGCCATCGTATATTTCTTTAATGAAGTGTAAGACTAGGACTCCATAAATTCACATAGTAGCAGAAACAGGCAGCCGCTCGTCAGAGGAGCTATTCAGGGAGTCCAGCATCACTCTTTGCGTATTAGAGAAGTTCACAGCCAGTTAAAAATAGGCTTGGAGAGAAGGCGCTTTTAGACCACAGCTCATTTTGGATTTCTCTGGAGCCCCATTCTGGGCCACAGTGTACTTCCTTTTTCCCTTCGTTCTAGTAAGAGCACCCAGGCGGCTCAGACGGTCGGTGTCTGCTTATCTTTAGTTCTGCTGTGCACTGAAAGCAGAACTCTGAAGAATCAACAGTAACCCCTTGGGCATGCGGCGTGTGACAGCTTTTTAATAAGCACTAACAGTGATTGAGACTTTCGTGTGGGCCAGACTCCATGCTTGCTTTAAATTCTCAAAACTAGTCTGAGAAAAATACTATTAATAACCTCCTATCTGCGATGAGGAACCATGAAGTGAGAGTGGATGGACACCTTTGTTAAGATCACAGGGCTCCTAAGCCGGTATCTCTGGCTTAGAAGCAAGGTCACCTGACTCCCTTCCAGCCTGGGTCCATCGGGTGGGCCCTGCAAGGTCATAGGGATTTCTGCATCCTTCTGTTTTGACCTTCGGGTAGAGCTTGGTGAAGGGTCACGGCAGGAGTGCTACCCTACTCTTCAGAGCAGAAAACCCAGCACCAGCGAGCTGAAGTGATGGTCCAAATGCAACCAGTCCTTGCGCATGAAAACTGGGACTTGAACTAGGTCTTCCAGCGTTCAGTCCTGTGCTCTTTGGGGACGAACTCTGTCCTGTATGAAACGACACACTAAATGCTTTTCTACTTGACTGAACAGAATGAACAAAAGACCTTGTCTCTAGGAATCCCGTAGCCCAAGACTATGCTGATTATTCTGAGGGTTTTTTAGAGACACATTCCTATTTGCTACTTGCATTTAAAACTCCAAATATAATATTGTTTTCATTGTTAATCTAACAGTCCTTCAAATCCTGGGAGCAGAGAGTGAGCTAGAAGGGATAGATGTCTTCAGAGGGAGCACTGCCAAGTTAGTTGATAAAGCTAATATAATATCTGTTTGAACATTTAAATTATCCACTGACAAGGAAGCTGAGAATTAGCTTATAAAGGCTCAGTGTAGGCATTGTACATGTGAGAAATTTTTTTAAATACCTGAGTTTTGAAAAATAAAAGTGGTCTGCCCACATTTTCAAGCACAGTGGTAATCAAAAGAGAGCTCTGAGGAGGTAATAATACCTTGTATTTTAAATACCACTTGTCTCTGAAGCGCTCAAAGCACTCTATAATCATTTCCTTATTATGATTCTCTAAACTTCCTGGGTCAAAAAGTTACAAAGTTTGTATGGTAACAGCGTGGCCTCAGTTTCCCCTTTGGGAACTGGTGGTGGAAGATGGGGCTGCTGTGTAAGGACTCTGGTACCACCTACTCCCATCCCAGAGACCCCTACCCTGTCCTGTTTCTGGCTTAGCCTCTTCATGTTTTGTAAATCTAATCAGTTAGGTTTATGACATGGAACTGTAGATTGTTTTTATTAGAAGTGCCTCATGTTGCTGACTGTGTAGTTCGGGTGGGATGGGGGAAGGCCCTTTAGTCAGAGTTGCTCCACTTTTATCTGATTTTATTCATTAGAGATTATTATGAGATTTAATATTTTAGGGGGATTTTGATTAAAAAAAAAACCCTCTTGAAATCTGGTCATCCAGCCTAGCCATTTCATTTTCCTTGTAGAAAAGTAGATCAAGGGTAACCTAACTTACACTTTTGCCTTGCTGTAATTCGGGGGTCAACTACAGGGCCCTTGACAACCACCAGGTGATTTTTTTTCCTGTTATAAATCCCAAATGGAGACCCAAAGCCATAGGCTCACAACTTGGGAGGTTGAAATCCTCCTGCAAAATCATCTTCGTCCTTCCTTAGTGTCACAGGGACACATTTTTCCCTGGAACAGTGGACTAGAGCATGCGGGAGGAGACAGCTGGAGTTAGTGTGCGCCACTCTCACCTGGTCCTGAAGTGGTTCTCTGCCTCAAGTAGGTCATGAAGAAAAACAGCGTGAGCACAAACACGCACATAGATTTGTGTAGCTACCGCCTTCCGGCGTGCGCACAGCAAGCACACGTGTAGCCGCTGTCAGTTCTCCAAGGAGGAAGGGCAGGGCAGTGATTATCAGCCTCATGCTGTATGGGAAAATCAAGCCACAGAACAAACACAGCTCGACTCCAATCACGCCTGGAATCGGTGGTGTCGGCATCAGCACATCTGAGCTTTTGCTGTATCGTGTTGCACCCTGCAAGCAAAGTCTAGAAAGCTGGATGTGTAAGCCCTAGCCCTGTGTCAGGCTGTGCCTTTGGCAAGTGTTGAACCTTGCTAGCCTCAGTTTCCCTGTATGGAAAGTGGGTAGAAAATGGATTGTGCAAGGACTAAAAGGAGAGGGCTGGGTCTGGAGCAGCCCACTTGCACCCTCTGTATTCCAGCCTTTGCTGAGTGTGCAGTGTATTCCCCCATGTTTAGTAATTTTGGGGTGTCTCTGGATGAGGCTGCTTTGTAAGGTGGATCCATGTCTCAGCTGCTACGCCATACCGGGGTGGACAGGAGACTGGGATGTGCAGATTGGGGGTAGAGTACGGGGGACCAGTGTGAGGCAGGTGTGTAATGAGTAGTGTGTAACAGGCTTGAATCCAGGTCATGGAGATCCCTGCTGTGACTACACTAGTGTGGACCATGTCATCCTGGTCTCCAGGAATGTTGGGGACAAGGTAAGGCCCTGGCTTTGTCAGGGGCCCAGCAGTCTCTTGGGTGCTAGTAATCATTTCAAGCCATTTTTGCATTTATTCCTCTTTTGTTTCCCCAGAATGTGAGTCACCTCATGAAAAGTTGTCCCTGATGTTGCTCCAGGAAAGATACACAACAGCCAGAAGCTTGGGAAAAGATGCTAACTCCCTGGTCACTGGGGAAACGCAAACCAAAACCACCATGTGAGAGTACAGCCCACTCCTTAGAAGGGCCATCGTAACAAACAAAGAACAACCAGAAAATAACAAGTGTTGGCAAGAGTATGGGGAAAATGGAGGCTTCTATAACGCTGGTGGAAATGTAATATTGTTCAGCCATGCAGAAATCAGTGGTAGTTCCCCAAAAAGTTAAACGTAGAATTACTATATGACCCAGAAATTGTACTTCTAGATGTATACCTCAAAGGGCTGGAAGCAAGACTCACATGGACATTATTCACAATAGTCAAAAGATGGAAAAAAAAAATCCCAATATCCATCAATAAATAGGTAAACAAATTGTGATGTACACCTGTTATGGTTTGTTTTAGATGTCTCCCAAGATAGATCCTCATGTGCTCATAGGCAGAGCTTTGCATGGATTGTTGGATTATGAGGGCACATGTATGTGAGTCAGACTAGAGCCTGGGTTGCTGTAGTCAGGAAAAAACAAAAGACTGGATGGAAGTACGATTAGCAAATCTGGTCAGAGTTGGGTCTTTCGGGTGCGGTCCTGAAGGGCAGCTCTCCCTGCCTGGCTCCACCCCCTGTTCTCTGCTTCCCGGCTGCCTAGCTGTGAGATTTCCTTCTAGGTGGGCCTTTCCCCCACACGGAGTCTGCCCCAGAGCTATCCGAGTACCAGACTGAAACCTCAGAAACACAGGAGCCCGCATCGAGCTCGCCTCCTTTCAGATGCAGGTGTTGGGCATTATGTCTAAGATGAGAAAGTGACTAATACCCACAACAAAATAAAAAGGAGAAATGT